AATGCATTTTATCATAAATATGTAAATAAAATCAGAAAATCTATATTTCATACAGCACAGAACTAAGCCAAATGGCCTTTTTTTTGTCTGGTACCCGTTTGATATCATGGATGGCAAAGGTAATCTGTCCATACAGTATAAGCTAAGAAGATGAAGTAAAACGATTAGAACTAGCAGTTTAATTCAGTTCAATTCGAGCTTTATTGTCCTATTTATTCTTTTATAGCACATGCCCAACATAACAACACAATGACAGACAAAATTTCACCAACAAAGAAGTCAGTGAAAGTCAGGTTTATGCCTGAGCACTGAATTCTGTTTAAACCGATGTTTTTTTGTGAGTGTTGGGTGACTTAATTGGTTTTGTTTCTTTGGTGGAGAGTCAAATCTGGTTCTTTTGATACCAGGTCAGAAGAACACCTGCTTGCTTAGCTGTAGTTAGGAGAAGTGACAGTACATATTGCTCTTCTGTCTGAGAGTTTGCTGTTGTACATTCTTCATTTGCCTAAGCAAATTGTCATTGCAGGTTTAATCAGCTCAGGGAGATTCAATCCCGGCCTAAAATCTTAGGCACTCACTGTTGACATGATGTGTTTCCCGAGCCAGTATACGCAACATAGCCCAAAATGCTCAGAAGATGGGGAAATCGAGAGGAATTAAGTGCACCTCTTAACCATCTGAGGTCAGGAGTCCTATTACCGGATGTAGCTAGAAGTGATTGCTAGGAGGGCATATCCATATCCTTCACTTCATTTGGAAGGCAACTAGTAGGAACTGACACAGCTGGTTGGCCTCTGTGCAAAAAAACAAATCTGGACAGTTTCAAGTAAGGCAAAGACAAACTTGAAGTTAAATAAGTGTAGGACTGGAAGATGTTCTTTTAGTGGTATGGCTTGTTGCCTTCAATTATAGAAACAACATTATATTCCATTTTTCAGGGAATATATATTAGCGTATTCCATGTCAATTCAGTTTTCCAATTTTTTTTTAATCTGTGCCAAAGTTCAGGTTTGTTTTTATACATTTCTTAACCTCTTAGGAATTCATTATAGGATGCCTGGTAAATGCTGAATCTATTTTATGTATTTTATGTTTGCCATTACTTTTAAGTCCAGATATTATATTGGTGTAATCATTTCACTGAAAAAAATGTTCTTGTTCTTTTTTGTGTCACATTATACTGTAGTAGATTAACATTCTTAATGAACATACTGTAATCTGAAAAAATAGAATAAGGTTTGAATGTGTAAAGGATTGAATGGTTAGAAATAATATATGGGTAATATTACTGTATAAGCATAAAATTGTTTACATCTTCAGTACTTTAAAAGTGCTAGCATCTAATATATTTTAATAACACAGTGGAAAAAACAGTGAACACAAAATCCAGCTTTGTGATGCTGAGGTAGAGTCTGCTTGGCAGAAAACTGCATCACCTGTTAGAATGGCAGGCATCATTCATAATACCGCTTATAACCTCAGGGTTCCATTGTCTGCTTTGGAAGGAAAGAATAAGGTTTAAAATTCCAAAAAATCAAAGAAGAAAAACAACACATAGACATACTGTACCAGAGCCCTTCCCCAGATCTTTCTAAGGCTGCCAGACATTAGACAGAATAATCCCACCACGACTGCAGAAAGTATTGCAATGTTTTAATTTCAGTGTAAAATACTGAAAGCATTAAAAAAAACGAATTCTAAGAATCATCAGTGGTTGTACAACAGTGCTGAGCCCACAGCAGAAACATCACACAGTATGCACTGGTTCCTCTTACAGAATAGTTTGATTTCTTTCTTTCATTGTATACCAAGAGAAATGTATTTTCTGCTCCTTCTCTGGCCATTATAACACTACTATTAAAGAGCACAGAAATTTCTGCTAAAAATATTATCTGAGTGTATATTTAATATGATATATTTAATGCAAATATCTTGAAAATAATATTTTCACTTTAAGTGAATCATTTATATGTGATGTACAGTACTTGTAGCATTATAATGACTTACCAAAATGTCATAGTTTAACCATTCTGAAGTGTTTGATAAAGATAGAGCATGCTGTAAGATATAGTAAAGGTTTTCCTACTTATCAGTGTTAATCAATGTAGATTCTAAATGAGAACAACAGCCTGTTATGTTGCTTTAACACTAACACCACACCAGGTTCTAACAGACAGACAGAAGATTATTATAAATACAAAAAAAAACAACTGAAAAACTTTTGTGCCTATACAAAAAAACAAAATTGCTTTGTTCTACTGTTTGTGACCATTGGAAATGAAAGAAATGGGCCAAATTAAAGAAACATTTGTGATATGTCTGCAGCTTTAAAGAGCAGTTTTATTAGTTCTCATACCTCCATTCAGCATTTGTGACAATTAAATACAAGCCTATCGTATTGCTTCATGTATATCAGCAAACTAAGAGGGAAGGGTATTACTAGCTGGTAAATGCCTGTCATCTGGGGTGTAGCAAAGGGTTAAACAGATTTTCATTTTAGATAGTTGTCGTGGCAACAATCAGAAAGCACTAAGAGTGTCCTTTTCTCATTTGACAGGATTTTAAGATTTACAGCTTAGGTTAGATGTAAGAGTTTATTGTATGCCTAATTTGAGATGTGAAATAGGAGCTGAATTAAATTATGAAGGGCTTTTCTGTTTTGCACTGCTAATGCGGGATAGGGGACCTGTTAGTTTCTAAAAAAAATGCACATCTCTTAGTTCAACAAAAAGGCAACCCCTACTTTCAAACAAAAATCGAAAGTGTATTATTTAGTAGTCATGATATTCAGTGCTGCTTATTTTTTTCTGAAGATTGAAGGAATTGAAGTAAATTATGGAGTTTTGAAGGAATTTTTCAGTCTTGAGCCAGCTCCAGAGTAATCTCACTAAAAAATTGACCAAAGTTATGCAAAATGCCAACCCGTTTCTGCTGCGATCAATTTTCTTCAGGCATAATGACACAAAGTTGTGATAAATTATGCAGTCTTTACTAACGAATAGTAGTTCCCAATTGGCTGGCAAAAATAATGTGCTTTGAAAAATACTGATTCACTATTGTACGTTTATGATCTACCCTTATGAAAATAACCTTAAAATATTAAGTTTATTTTCTCCTAAATGAACTGTACCGTAACATTTCTTTTTAAATGAATAGGTCATTTATAGGTTACGTACACAAGGAAATATGCATAGACTTGATGTAAATAGGTTTGAAAGAATTCTTTTTCTGGAACTAAACGATACACAACACATCCAAATCAAGGCTAAGGATGGTGCTTTTGTGTTACCCTTTGACTTACAGTAAAGTATAAAAGGCAACGATATGAAAACATGTAAAGATTACAAAATTGAGGAGGCCTTTGGCCCTTTGCATTACATGCATGAGATCTGCAATGCTGTTTGACATATTTGCTGCTCATTCCAAGAGTCCCAGGTGTGGGATTTAATTGAGCACTTTCACAGGTATCAGTCACAGACAGGACATTCTTATTGACGTTCATGTCCAGTGATTGGCCAGGACATTGACGTACTGTGATACTCTGACTCTCTTCATGTTACACAGGAGGTGCAGGCTAAAGCACCACCATTCACTGCTGGGTGAACACTACCACCGAGTTCTTCTTAAGGATTCCCCCATTTGAATATTTTTATGTAAGATGTTGTTAAACGCAGAGCAGAATTAACTTATGGGCATTTTGCATCAGGTCCCTTCTTGATATCAAACAAAAAGGAGACATATTTTCAATATTGTGCGATTAAAAAAAAATATGAGGTTATGACGTTATTTCAATATTTTTGAGCTTAAAAATAATAAAGTTGTTGTTTTTGATAGAGTACACTGTTATTGAAATGCCAGAGGTCTGCATATGATTTGATTTTGTGATGTATGCACATTTCTGCTTTATGAAGTCTTGAAGGTTTTTTGCTCTGGGAAGTCTCTTGAGAACAGAGAGGAGATGTACTGTATGCAGCATTAGGGAGATGGATTGTGTGTAGTGGCCTCCAATTTTAAATGGAAAAAGAAATGAAATGGTGAAATTGTACTCAAACCCATTTTCTCATGGCTAAACTATATCTGGAACACCCTAATGAAGAAAGCCCCTCAGGTTAAAAGGTAATGGTCTAGACATGCTGACAATGTGCCCTAGAGTAATATAGTACTATAAGCGTTACAGAAATAGTCTGTCATTCTCTGGAATGCAGCACACAGAGATGCTCTCAGACTTGAATTGCTTTTCTTAAAAAAAAAAATGTTGCTGAAATTATAGAATGAAATATATATTTAAAAAACAAAAATAGAATTTGTTCATATACCGCATATAACGGTATAACAGCAGTACTGGTCTCAAGTTCCTTCTCACCATCTCTTATGCTGTGAGTGTATCTGTACAGAGCTGAAGTAGATCTCCCTGTTTTCATTTTTTTTTAAATAACATAAAGCACCAAATGTGACCCAGACTGAAAAGAAAACCGACGTTACACATTCAGAATAATTTGCTACTGTATTATAAAATGTACCCTCGATCGCACTTTGAAATGGATACTGATTCTTTAAATTCTTTCCTGCCTGTTTCAGGAAATAGTGAGATCCTGCTGATATTGAAGTACAATGTGCCTAAAGTTCACTTCTAAACACTTGCCTTCTTCACTCTGAAAGTCATCTGCATTCTCTTTACAATTCGGAGCCACCAGAGATCTCCCTAATCTGGGAGATCTGATCCGGTATCATTGGGAAAAATCCATGATAATAATTCTGCTATTCAGATTGGAGACAGGCCTGTGCACCAGAACCCCCCTCATCACTATTACTATCTCCCCTCACTCCTCACCCCCCTCTTGAATCCTCTCAGCCAGGAAAGAGGGAATAAAGGCCTTAGCTTATAAAATTGCCTGTTTATGTCTTTCAAAAAAGAAGAAGAGCAGAACTTGTGGTTATTAAAGTTTCTTTAATCACCAAAATAAGCAAATGATTAGTGTTTGTTATCTTTGCTCGTGCAGAAGACGAAGTGCTCAGTCCCGGTGGTGTTGAATGCTGGCCCCAGGTGGCTTCTGGATGTGACTTGGCAGGGAGCAGAAGACAACAAAAACAACTGTGTTGTGTACAGCAAAGGTAAGCGCGAGCATTCGTTATCTTGCTTTTGCTGCAATTAAAGAGACAGGACCCTCTTCGAATTCTTGCTCCGTGCGTTTCAATGTTTAAAAATGTTATGTATTGGTCCGCCTTCGAGGTCCAGTGTGCAGTATGCACCTTTGCAGGTTTTTTAAATATCATTGTAGATTAAGCCGTCTTTGTTGGTATGTTTTGCCATGTCTGTTTAAAACAGAGACCAGAATTCCGATGCCTGTAAGTATCTCTATGTTGTTTCCTCCACCAACCCAGAAGGTTTACAGGAATGCACAGGCTGTCACAAACGTGTGCTGATTTTGTTTATTTGTTCTCAGTCCTTCAAATACACAGTGAATGAAATATGATTTACCAATTGCCAAACTTTAGGTGCCATAAGAGATGTCTGAGTCTCACTAAAGAAGTTAGAAAAAGGTTTAAACATCTAACACTCACACACACACAAATTTAATTAGTGGCTCAATCTTAAGATTTCCTTTTTGAAAACTGTTACTGTATTTCTCCTTTACTTATTCGGTTTCCTACTAATAATGAACACAGTAATATACTGAAATATAATATTTCAGGTCATGGACTGGCTGATATCTTATTGCTTTTTGTTTTTGTATGATACCATGTTGTAGGCCTACTACTGTATACAGTCAAGTGTGAAATAGACTTTAAACTAGAATTTATACTAGATCTAGTCATGAATTTCTATGCAAAAAAACTATTTTTGCCTATTTCTTTTTCCATAAAACTGGGGTAACGTTCAGTGACATTACCCCTCGTATGATAATAATAAAGTATGGGTGATGATCAGTGACAAAAACCTCTATATATTTTTTTATAAATCATTAATAATATGTATGATTTAGTGTATTAATGTATAATAACAATTCGCAAATAAGCCTTACAGTAGTATCATATAAATAGATTCATTTTATATACCTTAAAGTATAACAGCAGTATAATAGTCAGAGACAATCTTTTATGATCTTGTTTACCTATTTTTTGGGGTTTGTTATTTTCTGGCATTTAATTTTATTGTGTTTGTGCTTTTTATGTATTGCGGAACCTTTTTGAGGTAAATATTGTATACTGTATTACTTTTCAAAACAACATTTATGACAGATATGAATTATAGTAAGAAAAACGGCCTGCTTTGCAGTGCTTTTGTTTTACTACGAGGTTTAATGCAGAACCTTTAGTAGAAAGTGGATTTACTATAAATGTAATGTCTTGAGCCTCTTTCATTACTGCATGTTCTGTTCTTCTCTTCTCCATGGAGATTTTACATCTTTCGGATCCGATGGCTGTTGACACAATTAGCAATCAGTAGAGTGTTTCATATTGAAGAACTGTAGCCTTTCAAATCAATACAATACTTCCTTAGATGTCACTTAACATGTTTGAAATTATGTGTCTGTGTATATATATTATACTGTATATTATTATTAAGAAGCTACGCGGAAAACCAAATAAGAAATACCCTTTTGAGACGGATATGCCTTTAGGTAGGATTTAATGCAGTAACAGATTCAGATAATCTAATAGAGTGTGGCAGGGCATTCCAGACACTTGGGGAAGAAATAGCTCTGGCCTTTTATGTTCAAAGCTTGGTTGAGTAAATCTTCGTTGACAAAATTCCAGAACTAAAAATGTATATTTTGTGCACCTTAACCAAGGCTCACAGTTCTCAATGTTGTTTTAGTGGAGAGAATTTTCAACATATCCCATTGTTTGAGGGTGCTGTGATATTTGCAGCGATCAATTTGTTTTCGAGAGTTTAAGTGTCAATCTAAAGTAGCAAACAGCATAAATAGGGTTGTGAAACAACAGAAATGGGTGAAGAGGGAAAGTAAGGGAACATACATTTTTTCAGCACAGATGCTATTGGTGGTTTTTTATTAGAAATCTGAATTATGAGCATATTAAAATGGCAACACTTGATGTTTTTGGCTTGACTTGAATTTTGCTTAGTTGAAGCTTACTTCACCAGCTCACCATAAAAACGTGCACCAGCCATCTGCTGTAATATAGCCTCACATATGCTGCTCAAAAACAACAAAGAAGTTGTATCAAAATTTAAAAACCTTGTTTATTAAATAAGAAAAACCTGTCGAGGAGCCAGTACATAAACAGAAATGGAAAATAAATGAGCACAGTCAATTAAATTACTGTTTAAATTATTGTCTGTTGGAAATTGTGTTGCTAGCGGGCAAATTGAACTTTGGAGTTATCCACCCAGGGTATCTTCTACTGACTGCACTCTGTACCTTCTCAGCAGGGTTTAGTTAGACACAGTAAGGCAAATCAGCCCCAGCTACAGAGCTTCTTCTTTTGTCTCCACCCTGATGGTGAATAAGTCTCTCATATGTGAAGGACATCCGATACATGGCAAAGAACTCTGCCGTAATGAGATACACCTCTTCATTTAGGGTCCAAATGTACAAAATGTGGAACTTGATTTTGAATAACTTGGGTTATCACCCAAAGAAGGATAACCTTGCTAAGATTTATTTTGTATTGCCACATTGGTAATTAACAATGGCTGGACATTGTGCCTTGACAAAACATTAATTTAAAATTGTTTTTCTCTCATTTAAGATCTTTTTTTTATTTCCCCTCTTTCATTTTAGGGCAGGCGTGGTCTCTGTAACAATCGTAACATGCTTGTTTCTGCTTAACATGGTCAAAGACTCCTAAACAGGGTTTATCATCTCATCACGTTGAAGATGATTTAAAGAGACATAAGTTGTTTTACTGCTTACTTTTTTTCTGTGACTAGATTTACAGCCGAAATGGAGTTTCTTCTCCTCAAAGTGAATCTGTGGCAGGACTGGGATTTGCTTCCCGGATTTTCACACTCCCAATTCTCATCTACTAATCACTAGACTGCACTGGGGAGTTATCCTCTTAACCGGCTACTTAACTTTGTGCTCTTTATCATGAAATCATTAAAGTTTTGATAAGCTGTTAAAGAAGATTATGCAGTTCTTTAAAATTCTAATCTTTTCGTATTTCAAAAATATATGAAACAAAAAGAGTAATAATGAGATTTCTACCCTGTTTTCTGAAGGATTTAGGATTTTTCATTTTCAGTAGTGTTTGTAGTGTACCTTATCCTTCTGTCATTTGAAGTTATTTCTGTTGGCAGCCTAAATGTGTACTGTATAGTCCTTTGTCCCTTCAAGCTATAATATGACCACCAATAGTCCACCATTTTATTAATTATTTCTTAAATGTGTGTTGCTCAGCTCTGTACATTCATATAAGATGAAAACAAAATGGATTTTAGTTCTGGGTTTGCAAAATTAATTTTCATATTTCTAAAGGCTTGAGATTAAATTTTGTATTATAACCTGCAACAGTACAAAAAAAACTGACCTCTTTTTTCCACAAAACACAGTTTTTAGACGATAATCAGAAGTCTTATGTACAAATGCTTCTATGACTTTTGTAGTTTAAAAGATGCTTGGCCGTGACTCTTTCAGCAACAGTAAGCAAGGGTTAGGAAAAGGTATCGCTAATATTTATTGCACAATATTTGATATTTAGTGTCTGTTTTCCTCAAACGTCAGTCATGTTATTCATAACTGTGGCAAATCTCTATTTACGTGCAGTTAAACAGTTTTTAACTGAAATTAAATGTTGCTGGCTGAGATCCTAATAAACCTGACATTCATGGGCTCTGTGTTTCAAAATTGAAGTAATGTTACTTTTTGGACTGATGCCAGCATTGAACCCAGTGAGCCCTTGATTAGTAATGAAGATAGGCATATTTTCTTATCTGGCTTTAAAATTAGATGTGTCCTCTGAGTATAATAACTGTCCGTAGACCCTTAAAAGGAAAACTCTTTTTGTTGTAAAGAAGTGAAGAAGTGATCATCTGAAGTGACATTTTTTATCGAAAATTTGACTCTTTTTGATGAGAGTTTTTTATTAAGATGTTTTTGTAGTTAGGTTTTTATGAAATCTTATCAAAGAGAAGTGGGTTTTACACAACTCTTTTCTGCTATTTTGAATTCTTAAACACCACACCATTTGTGTGTGTGGGACTTTTTTTTTACATCTGTTTTCTTCACCTGGCTTGAATACCTAAACGTCCTGCAGAGTATGTTATTTTGTAACATTGGAAGTGTGGAAGTGTGATAACAAAAATATTCTGGCATAATGTATTCTGCAATACATCCACTCAGCTGCAAGTTCATGGTTTAAATACTGTACTGTACATCACAGTGAACGTGAACAGGTTAAACAGGCACAAACTGTATTATCACATCCAGTTCTACTTGTCCTTGAACATCTTATATGCATCGTCTGTCAAAAGAAGAGGGTAGACTAGATGTGTCTGAAACTGATGATCAGTGCAAAGCTAGCAAAATCCCATACGCAATTACTTGATGTTTAAATGTGATGGGTCTTACAGTATCCGTCAGCTTATCCATTTGATGTGGTATCACGTTGGTAATGTGGGGTCAGTCATTTCTTTTTACTTGTTTTTGATTATGCTGGAGATAACATTTTTCCTTCTGAGTGCAGGATGTAAAAAAGCAATAAAATTAAGTTGTACTCTCTGGGCCATTAAACATATGTCATGATTCTGTTAATCAAGTGCAAAACATGTCTCAAAAATGCAAATTTTACTAAGAAAACAAAAGTAAAATTTTGTTTTACTTTTTATTAATAGCTTGTAATAAAAGCTGTATACTGTGTCCAGTACAAAAATTCACCTTTGTTGTATAAGTTACTGGGCTTTCAGTAGCAGGACATCATGTTGTGTACAGGAAGCAAATACTAAAGTCAAGGTGCACAAAATGCAGTAGGAACACAGTGTGTGCTATTTCTTTAAGACACGTTTAGTGCACTATTTCTTTTACCTTTTAACAAGTATGTGGCTCCCTTCAATGGATGGTACAGTAATCTAACACAAAAAAAACCTAGATTAGGAATTTGTGATTGCTGTCAGACTCACACAATGTACAGCACTGGGCCTAATGTAG